GTTTACTGCTTGATTGTTTGTCTGGTGTTAATCCTGGTGTTAATCTCTGCTTATCTGGGTGTAGATTGCTGGTGAGGAGGTGTTCTGGTCTTTTTGTTTCCTTTTAAAAACAAACAACACCCCCACCAACACTGACAGAGCAAGCTACTGTATATAAACAGAGAGAAAACCCCACTCCTTTCTAGCACTGAAGATGTTAACTAGCTGGGTAATGAAAAGTCTGCAAGAAAACAACCAGGCTCAGAGAACCCCAAGGACTCCACAATTCAACCCTGAGCTACAGTGGGGCAAAAAAGTATTTAGCCACCAATTGTGCAAGTTCTCCCACTTAAAAAGATGAGAGAGGCCTGTAATTTTCATCATAGGTATACACCAAGAGCAAGGGGATTTACTAATAGCAAATCTGCATAATGCAATGGACAACAGAAGAGAATATATGTACAGTGGGGCAAAAAAGTATTTAGTCAGCCACCAATTGTGCAAGTTCTCCCACTTAAAAAGATGAGAGAGGCCTGTAATTTTCATCATAGGTATACACCAAGAGCAAGGGGATTTACTAATAGCAAATCTGCATAATGCAATGGACAACAGAAGAGAATATATGTACAGTGGGGCAAAAAAGTATTTAGTCAGCCACCAATTGTGCAAGTTCTCCCACTTAAAAAGATGAGAGAGGCCTGTAATTTTCATCATAGGTATACACCAAGAGCAAGGGGATTTACTAATAGCAAATCTGCATAATGCAATGGACAACAGAAGAGAATATATGTACAGTGGGGCAAAAAAGTATTTAGTCAGCCACCAATTGTGCAAGTTCTCCCACTTAAAAAGATGAGAGAGGCCTGTAATTTTCATCATAGGTATACACCAAGAGCAAGGGGATTTACTAATAGCAAATCTGCATAATGCAATGGACAACAGAAGAGAATATATGTACAGTGGGGCAAAAAAGTATTTAGTCAGCCACCAATTGTGCAAGTTCTCCCACTTAAAAAGATGAGAGAGGCCTGTAATTTTCATCATAGGTATACACCAAGAGCAAGGGGATTTACTAATAGCAAATCTGCATAATGCAATGGACAACAGAAGAGAATATATGTACAGTGGGGCAAAAAAGTATTTAGTCAGCCACCAATTGTGCAAGTTCTCCCACTTAAAAAGATGAGAGAGGCCTGTAATTTTCATCATAGGTATACTTTTGTCTCTCATAGTTGAGGTATACCTATGATGAAAATTACAGGCCTCTCTCATCTTTTTAAGTGGGAGAACTTGCACAATTGGTGGCTGACTAAATACTTTTTTGCCCCACTGTACATATATTCTCTTCTGTTGTCCATTGCATTATGCAGATTTGCTATTAGTAAATCCCCTTGCTCTTGGTGTTGTAATCATGCTTTGGCAAGTTGTTCATGGACAGTGGGGTTCCCATTAAGATCTAATGCCATCTTCACAATCAAAGACAGGGTTCAGTGTCTCTCCTAACAGACAGCAGTGAGGCTTTCAAGATGGATATCAGCCCTTCAAGGTAGGCCAGGTCAGGAAACAAACTGTATGATCTACCAGAACTTTATTTTATTGTAATAGTGTATAATAGCAGAACCTTGAAAGCCTGACAAAGTTTTTTGCTCTTTCTCCCTCTTCTACAAAAAGTGGGGCAATCTTTAGTTCCTTTCCCATCTTTTCCTGTTTTCCATGCTAAATTCATGTTTTCCTAATGGCTGCTGCATCCCTTCTTCAAGGCTATAACCATACTGCTCTATGTTTTTCTTGAGGAAGGGGAAATTCTCGCCTATTTTACGTCAGTGTTAGTCCTCTCATGAATCCACCATGATTTTCTGCAGCAAAACTCCTAGATCTAATCTCTTTAGGATTTTGAATGGAATTGTTTGAAAATCCTATTTCACATATGTTTAGTTTAATATCAGGCTGCTATGAAAAATGCCCTCTATTTTATTGCTTCATTTAAATTTTTTAACTAGAATTTGGCCAAGTTAACAAAGCACAAAGCAATTTGAAACAACAAAAAGCATGTATGAACAACAATCGTATCAATGTGAATATCTCTTAAGACTTGGGGAAATAGCTTGTTATTTGGCAACTTAAATGTTAATTGATTGATTAGGTAACCATGAAAGCAATGCTGTTTCTTCATTTTTGTTGTGTATTAAGTAGTAAACAGTATGATGTTCTGACTGAAAGTTTCCAATTTCAGTTTGTTTCAATTTGCATGATGCTTAAGATATCCACATCTAGTTGATTTATTTCATTTAAATATTACTACTTCAGCTTATTTGATTATCTGAATTCAGTACTTTGTGGCTTCTGCTGTTTGTTGTAGGAAATTATTCAGTTTTTAAAATTTCAGAAACTTGTTGGCTTAAGCAGGACTGCTGGAACTTTGTCTAGCTGAAATCTTAACCTTCGCGCATTTGAAGTGTTTTATTATGTGAAGCAGTAATAGCGTAGCCAAATTCTGTCGGAAACAGAAGTTTTAGGTGTGAATAATTCAGACAACTATTAGCTAGGCTTCTTTTGGTGCCAGTATTAATGGCTGTCTTAATTTCATATTCACTTCTTTTAGTGGGCCTGTTTTTTGCTCTAGATTGTTGCAATCTTCTGTTAAGGCCTTACTATCAAACAAAACAGTGGGTTAATCATAATTTTTATTCTCCTCTATGGTATAAGTGGGTCCTAGAAGCATTCTTCAAGTAGAGGCTCTGTTAAAGCAATGTTGTTTGGTAACCTCCAAATTAATTGTTGAAATATAGTGATTAAGGATTTGGATTAGGACTGAGTCCCAGGTTTTAGTCCACTTTCAGCCATGGAAGCTTACTTGGTAACTGGACCAGTCACTCTCTCTCAACCCAGTCTATCTCATGAGATGCTTGTTAGGGGAATAAAATAAATGTAAGCTATACTTTGCTTCTGGAGGAAGGGCAAGTTTTATATTTATATAAATATCTAATCTGAGAATCTAAGAAAATAAAATCAGGTGGGCATAGAGCAGATGGGGTACAAGAAGAGTGTCCATGAGCTCATCAGTGTTGGAAATCCAAGATTTACATCATATTCTGATTGTTTTGCAGTCCTTTTGAGGTTGAATGTGCCTTGGACATGATTTTGTTATTAACTTTGTAGTCTTTTCTCGATTGTTATGTAAGAATGATGAATCACAGTTTGATTTTTTTTTTTTTTTTTAACTTTTCACCTGCAACCAGCATTCTGTTTGCTTGGTTCACATAACTGTTCTTGGTTTACCAAAAGAGATATTTTGAAGCATTTGCATACAAACTCAAAGGAATTTGTTTGGCTTTACATTTTATGACAGACTAGAAATATTTTGCTAAAAAACTAGAGATATTAGTAATATTTTTGATATTTATTCTCCCTATTAAAGCCTTTTACAAGGTGTGAGAGAATTATGTATATGGAGGTATATAAGATACATGTAGAAGATGGAGGATGATTTGTGGATAGGAAGAATAGGATATATAAAGCTATTTTTTAGAGTTCTATCATTGAGGCTTGTGACCTAATATTATCACATTTAGCTATCAACAGTTGTCCAAGAACTATTACCTCTTACCTAAACATTTATTGTTTATCCATTCCCAGAGAAGATTACAATATAGAAAAAATCAATTTTGTCACTAGAAAAACAGCCGCTGAACTTTGGATCTTTTAACATGCAAATTATAAGCATCATGACT